TAAATAAATAAATAAATAAATAAATAAATAAATAAATAAATAAATAAATAAATAAATAAATAAATAAATAAATAAATAAATAAATAAATAAATAAATAAATAAATAAATAAATAAATAAATAAATAAATAAATAAATAAATAAATAAATAAATAAATAAATAAATAAATAAATAAATAAATAAATAAATAAATAAATAAATAAATAAATAAATAAATAAATAAATAAATAAATAAATAAATAAATAAATAAATAAATAAATAAATAAATAAATAAATAAATAAATAAATAAATAAATAAATAAATAAATAAATAAATAAATAAATAAATAAATAAATAAATAAATAAATAAATAAATAAATAAATAAATAAATAAATAAATAAATAAATAAATAAATAAATAAATAAATAAATAAATAAATAAATACTAATACATTTGTAATAAAGGTGCTTAATTAGATTAAAGATAATTTATGAAAATATTGTTAGTATTTATTACCTTGTTTCCTACAAGAAAAGCTTCCATTCCTTTGACATGTGACCTTTCAAGTTTGACCTGTTTTGGTATGGCAACATAACTTTGGTAGGCCTCACTAGCATGGTGAGCAAGATCTTTCTAAAATCAATAAAAATACTGTGAATAATATTATTTTTTGGCTGGATTAAAGTTTTGCGGAGAAACCCTAATACCATAATACACTATGGGTTTGTATAAAAAATTGATATATTATGGTGGCTGTACTACAATTATGTAAATAACTGTGTGTGACTATGGCTAAAATAATATTTAATGGTCAAGCATACAGTAAATTTAATTTTTGGTTTATATGTAATTCCATTAAGATGGACTTGTAATAGAGTAAATATGGTATAGGGAATACATAATATACCATATATGCTCTATTAGTAGCACATGCACTTATGTATATAACAGCAAGTCAAAATACCGTAAGTAAAATTTTAATTATCAAAATATTGAAAACAAGCCATGCATGGCACAGTCCCAGTTAGTTATCGAATTTAAGATACATAGTTTTGTTTATAGTAATATGGCTGGAATATAATCATGTCAGGAATATGATTATGATGATTGTTTAACATTGAGAGATATTGCTCTAGAACAGCATTAATTAAAACAAAATCAGCCATTTGAATACATGTATATATCTATACCATGATGTATAATGAATATATAAAATTTGAACATAATCAGTCAAAGCATGTCAGAGATATGGCTCCAGAAGCCCATTCATTAAAACAAAATGGCCACCAGTCAGCCAATAAAATAATAAAATAAACAAATAAAATAAGCATCCTACAATATGTAAACAAGATGCTATCAGTATTCCTAGCAACAAACAAACAGCTTCATGAATTTCTTTCTCAAAAAAAAATTGTTGACTTTACCTTGTTTAAAAACTTCAGATTCTCAACTGCAATCCAAAAACTAAAATAAAGCATTACTCACAAGTTATAGTAACATTAATTTTTAAAATTTCCATAAATTTCTATCAATATACAATTTCTTCTGCCCCAGGGAGTAAATATGTGCTAAACATGCCATTTGCTCTTACATTTACCGTTTTTAAAAAAAAAACATTACCCGTACAATATATGTTTCCTGAAATATATTGATTGAAATAGAAAGGTTAAAATATATATTATTTACCCAAGTAGATTGTTCCTCTTTTCTCTTTTTAAAAATGCCATAAAGTATTTCCTGGCATGTGGGTTGTCCATAATCTCAGAGAATGTCAGTACCTGTCTCTGTTTAGACTCAGTGCTTGTATCATGGGTTGGTGAGTCCTGGCCATATAACTGATATTCAGGTCCACCAAGCAGACGAATTCGCTTCTCACACTGAGACTTGGAAACAGTACACTACAGAACAACATTGAATAGAATTTATTATGCATATTATTTATCTTAACACATTACATGCTGAAATCTTCCACTTAATGACGAAATGAATAGACAAGCAGCTTCTCGGCTGAGATAGCTCCGCTGTTAGCAATGCACATTTCAAGTGAAGTATCATTAGAAAATGAACAAATCTAAGAGAGGTCTACCTGTAGTACCTACCAGTATATATATATAATATCAAAGCAATCGGACTTAAAGTTTTTAACAAGAAGTCAAAAATATCATTTTTTACCAGAAATACATATAGTACATATGTATGTAATATCAAAGCAATCAGATTTGTAGTTTTTAACAAGAAGTCGAAAATATCATTTTTTACCAGAAATACATATAGTACATATATATGTAATATCAAAGCAATCAGATTTGTAGTTTTTAACAAGAAGTCGAAAATATCACTTTTTACCAAAATGACAAAAATGTTCACCAAAATGAGAGAATAAAAGATTTCATCATGAAATAAACAAATCTAAGAGAGGTCTAAAGTCGAGAGCAGAGATAAAAAATGGGATAAGCTAACTGGTGCCAGAACTGTACATTCTACTGTTCTGTGGTTGTACTTCACTATCATCACTTGCCTGACTCACTATATTAATAATACTATAGGCAGTTATTTCAAGTACATGTACAATAAAACTTCCTCCCATCCCCCCCCAAAAAATATGTTCAAACACAGTTAAATTTTCACCTTATGTCACCTTCTGGTTTCACTGATGACATTGCATGTATACAGGGAGATTCATATTTATTGATTTCTGTATGGACAGAGACTATTACCTGGTTAATATATCTTTTAAGGTTTCTAGCCTTTAATAAGTCACCTTTCCTCTGACCTTTTGGTGATGCTTCAGTTTCAATTCCTCTTTCTTTCTTCAGATTCTGTATTGTAGTAGCCTGCATAATTTCTGTCATAATTTGATATCTATGCAGCAATTAACAAGAAGTCTCTTAATACAGTAAATCATTTACCCCCCGGTACTTTACCCTGCGAACCCGC